TATTTTGTTAAAAAAAAACAACAACCGTGAATCGAATCGTGAGTTGAGTGAATCGTTACATCCCTAATATTAACAGTGAGCAGCTTCACTGCGACAAGAGACAAACAAGAATCATTGATCATTAAGGAAGTAACACACGATACTAAGAACCAAGGGTATGCAAACTTTTGTACAGACTAATTTTGTGTAAATTCAGTTATTATTGGCTTGTGGAATATATTTCAATAACTAATGTAACTTTTACATCTCCTTTCGACCAACAGGAAAGCATTGCCAGTGTTCAAGTGTCTGTACAAGAGGGTGATCTGGCATTAGATTTAACCCTTGAGAACTGAGTATTTGTGTAGTCTGATAAGCATCTCAAAAGGGCAATAATGGTAACTGTATATTCTCTTGAACAGAATTAACGTAACGAGTATGAACACCGAAACATTTAAGGTACAAATCAAAAAGAAGTCATTATTAAAAGTGTGTTTAAAAAGAAATACTAATAAATAAATCAAATCAAGTCTCACCTGAACAATGGTTCTAATCAACAGCTCACAAAAATCCATTTCCTGTTCATGACCATGCACGACATTGTGTTTCCCATTATGAAAGGTAAGAGTTTTTTGCTATAATGAATGATGATTTAGTTTTATAAGATGGGCATGTTATTTACTCATAATCTCATCAACCCTTCTAAGCTCACTTAGCGAAAGGGTGTCCACTTCCTGGTTTACTTGGATCCTTCATTGGGAAGGTACACGTTGTGAACCCTCATGTTGAGGTTCTTAATGTAAGCTCACGTTTCCATGATTGTGATACTTTATAAATACTGTCAATATAGCATATAATTAATGAGATATGAGTGGCTCATATCATTTAGAGAGACCCTGTAACCATAAGTGCATTTTCAAATTGTTTCTTGCACAGGATTACGTGTTGATTGGAACAGATACTCAGTTCGGAGAAAACACCTCATCTTAACACCACTGAGGGAAAATATGTTTGTAAAGGCGATTTAAAGAGAAATCAAAGGTAACACGTCATTTCGATAGTCCACTTTAGACATTCTATTAACAGTAAGTAACTTTGCAGCTACATGTCAACTAGCAGTTAGTAGAGTATTAGTAGACTGTCTACACTTTCTTTGTCAACTTATTCTACTAACCCTAAACCTACCCTAACAGTCTACTCTGAGAGTTAGTAGGCATGTAGTTGCAAATTAATGAGAATTAGTTGACATGTAGTTGACATGTAGTTACAAAGTTACTTATAGTTAGTAGAATGTCTAAAGTGGACTATCGAAATAAAGTGTAACCAAATCAAATGCATTTGCCTCAACAAAAATCATGTTTTGAAATTTGCATAAATAAATACACGGGGCAATATTTCCCCTATAACTGCATTCATTTGTTTCTTGTAGTTTATAAATGTATTCCTGTATGCAAACATTGGACAGTTCCCTATGGGATGAAATTAGTCTCAGATTTACTAATGAATGCGTGCACAATTATCCATGAACTTGATAAATGTCGCAAATGTATCTTACTATCCACAATCAAATGTCTGAATGTGCAGCGCTTGGTACAAATAGAAACATATTTGTGAATACAGATGTTTTCTTTTGCATTAGTGTATCAGAATTTGCGCATGCAACAAGGAAGATGTGCATTTGTGGATCAAGTGGCACGCATGCATTCATTGCCATCTCTTCGGAGTCGATACTATTTGATTCATTTGGATTTTGAGACTTTCTTTTCGCAGTTTTCAGCATTTCACAACCCACACACAAACAACTACATTTTGGTCTTGTCTTATTTTGTCAAATGTATTTGAAATGTATTTTAAAAGCAGCATTTGTTTCATACTTTTTCAGGTCAGAAAATGTGGAAATCTGTATAAACATAAAAAAAAAGTCAAATCCCTGCTTAAAGACCTGTTGTAACCTAGTCTTTAAGAAACAATTAAGACTAGAGTAAATCCAAAACTTTGACAAACATACAATTATATGAATGGAATTTTATTTTGTGTATATATATATATATATATATTTCTAAAGAATAATGAACAAACAGCAACATGACAACATTCAGAAAATTGTGCTGGGGTGTTTAAGTTGAAAGCTGCTGCTTGAGGTGATTTCTTGGCCCCATTAGAATGTGAAACTCATATTTCTGAGGATGCCTTGACAAATGCAAACAATGTTTAGTGAATCCAGTGTTTGTGTAGTTGGCTGCTCTCTAGCTCCCTCTGTAGGTGCTGTATGAGTATCTGCTGACCAGCAATGGCACATGACAGCTCTGATCAGCATCGCTTATAGTGAAGACAATCTAAATGTTGAAGAAATAAAGAGTTCAGTGACATTTCTCTGTCATGTCTAACACTGAGCCTACGTAAATGCAATCTCTCTTACATCAGTTCACTATTATTCTTTCTTACAAACCTCGACATATGGGTAAAAGCTGGACTGTCCCAAACTCTCCCAGTACTGGCCCGTCTCAAAGCGGATCTTGTACAATCCTGGAGTGAAGGCATCTCTGGTTATTAGTCCTGGACAGCGTCCATCCTCATTTGTGTTCCTGAAATAATCAATGGCACAGTATTTAACATAATAGCAAATTTCCATGGTTTCACTAATAAACCTCTCAAAATTTGACCCAAACTTTGGACAGTAAGTAACAGTTTTCTAAAAAAAATAATAAATAAATAAATAAATAAATAAATCTCTCATTGTTTGGCCAAACAGATAGTCCCGCCCCCAAACTCGCATCATTGGTTGAGCCAGCGTTACTGTGTCAGGCTGGTCAAGATGTTCAAACATTCAAAAACATCCAAAAATGACACACTTCAGCTTTAAACAATAACCATATACCCACCCGATAGTTATGAGGCTCCAGATGGCCATGCGAGGGTCCAGGCGGTGTAGACTGAGGGCCACTCTTGCCGCTGGGACCCCGTCCCCAGTGTTCAGCACATGTGTAGTGATGGGACTGCTGCTTTTCGCTGAAGAACCCATAGCTGTAAACCTAGAATACATAGATAAATTATGATTTTAAAGAGAGGTATCCAAAAAAGTTGCCCCATCTGATTCTTTCAAGTCAGAAAGGATTAACTCACTAAAGGATTATTCAAAACCTCTCAAAACAATACTGGTCAATAATAAAAATACAGACTCCTGTCAACATTAATATTGAAGTGGAGATTTTAAAGTTGTACAATTAACATTAACATTACCAGCTTCTAACTAAACTATTAAAAAGATGTTTAAGAAGATCTTAAGGTCTTACCCGCTATGAAGTCAGAGTCTTCTGGCTGTGCTGCTGTTTATATGAGGATGATCCGGACTCGACACTGTTTGATTAGTTTCAATGAGTTAATCAGCAAAACAAACCAGCGTAAGCACACAGGGTTAATGTTTAAGCCAACAGCTCTTAAAAACACGTTAGTATCACAAATCTTTAGAATATAAAGCACCGCAAAACAAAGACTGAATCTACAATCCTACCTTGAAGTCTTTTACGTACAACAAAGAGGGACAAGCCGAGCTGAAATGCTGTTTGAGGGCAGATGGACTTTGACCTCTTGTAACTAGTTTGATTTGGTTTTTTACATGAGTGGAAAAACATAAGCATAATAAGGTTACTGTTCTACAACAGAAAGGGATTGAATCATATAGATCAATGGTTTCTAGTCTTTACAGACCCAGAGACCCCCATTATTATTATTATTAAAAAACTAAATCTGTTTTCTTTGATTAAGAACATTAACTAACATCATTACATTATGTAATGCTTAACAGATCATTAGTTAACAAGTAGTTAATAGTTAAAATGTCATGAAAATTGAAGTTCAATCATCTCCCCTAAAGTGGCTTCAGGAACCCCTGATGATTGTATAGATAATGGCTTTTAACACTTTGATCAAAATCATTAAAGTCGTTAAAAAAATAATTGGACAAAAACAATTTGAGCATATCTATATTAATATACTGTACATGAATGTATTTTTATTTCTGTTGGTGAATACGTTCATAACTGCAATGCAACAAAGTGATACAAACAAAACAGCGTTCCATAATATTTTACAGTACTATATAACAAAAAATTCACAAACATGCAGCAGGAAACCACTTTACTATTTTATGCCTTATTAATAATGTATGCCTTATTTTTGTAAGTGTATGGACTTCACTAAATTTTTACATTAAACAACAACAACAACAAAACCTTTTCCTGATCATACAGTAAATCCAGTCATAAAACTAAATTGGCCAGAGCTGTTAATGAGGAGATATGAGCAAAAACCATGTCTAGTTGGTAACAGAGGTCGATGGTGGTCGTTGTGTTAATTCCAAAATGATCAATTATGAACAATTATTATACATTTTGTGAATTTTAATGACATTTGGGTTAAAATATGAGTGTATGTACATCTCAGTTTAAATCTTTTTGGCTCATAAATATACATAATTGAGCTATTTTTTAATATATCAGGGTCTATCAGTTGATGTAGATATCGTTATTAGCATCAGCAATTTAATAACCCATATCAGTTGACAAATGTTGTGTAGAACCATAAAATGATTTATGTAGGATATCTGCAATGACATAGTGTGTGTGTGTGTGCGTGTGTGTGTGCGTGTGCATGTGTGTGTGCGCGTGCGTGTGTGTGGTTGGTATCCTTTAATTTTATCCTGAACTTGAGCCTTATCAGTATTGACTGAAATCATGGAAAAACAGCTTGTGTTCAAATAACGCATAAAAGCATCAGCAGCGTTTGACGACACATAGTTCTGTTTGGTCTGTTTCTGGTCTGTTTAGACAGCTGCTCCACAACCGGATTCAAACTGGATTAATGCTCAGTTTACATGATGAAATTTTGAACAGATCTGGATATTTGGAAATGATCCAGATATTGTTTCTCTTCCTTCCTGGTGCTTTTCTTTACACCATCATTAGAGATCCTGTGACCTTTCTCAAAAACTTGGTATCTGAACTCGGAATCTGTGAGAGAGCAACAGAACTTTTAGGAGGGAGGTGAGGGAGGTGGGGGGGGTACAGTTTGGCAGTTTATTAAACAAAACAAAAACAAAAAAGTTACAGGTTCCAACTTACCTGAAACCTGCGTTTACATGTAGAGCAAATCTGATTCATAGTAATTAACCTAGAAAACACATGAATAAATAAATGTTAAACAGATGACTGTCAAACATCAAACATTTACATTTTTATAGCATTATACAATTTTTGTATATCCTGAAATATTGTTTCAAGATGTTTTATGGTGTTTAAGCCTGTTTTAAAATCTATCACAATAACAGAAATTTACCATGGTAAATACAGTTCACACTAAAACACCGTAATTACTATGGATATTGTTACTTTGTGAGTCTCAATAAACCTGTCAAGAACCTGTCTTTTCATTTCAAAATCATAAGAATGATTTACCGTAATGCAAAAAAGACTTGTTCCTATTAAAGTAATGTGAAAATGTAATTAAGTAATAGAAAAAAGTACAAAAAAGTATATATATATATATATACACACATATACGTATATATATTAGTTTTTTATTCACTTTGGTACTATTTTCACAAGTAAGGTGTATATTTTCAAAACTCTTAGTACTAATATCACAACAGATCATCAAAATTGCATTTTTTTTCAAATATTTCAGCATATTTTCACTTGTCTTAATACAATACACACAATCACAAAGTATCCTTTTCACCACACAAAATAAGTTTTGAATTGATATAAATGTTTCATTCACAGTAACAGCCTTTCATAAAGCTCTGTTAATGTGAGCTTGTGAAAATAGTACCAAAGTGACTGAAAAAAACTGTAATTTATTAATTTCACAACGATTGTAGTCACAATTTCTTTAACTATGATAATTTGACAGTAAATTTGTAAAAATGCAGACTTCATTTATGAGTATAATTGATTTAATCTGGTCTCATGACTACTGTTTCGAAGTGTTTGAACAGAGCCATGGAGCGGAGAGAACGCCACACCGTCTCCTGAGATTCACACACACACACACACACACACGCTAAATGACATAAATCTGAAGATCAAGGACAGAAATGCTGCCAAGGCCCTCAGGCTACAGCCCCTTTAGAGGCGCCACTTGCTCAAAATGTGAGACATAATGTCCAAATAATGACAAATAACATCACAAATATGAGACCCCACTGGCCTGGTTCATAATCCACCTTTACAAGGTGCATCTGATGATGAAAGAATGAGTGTTTTACCTGATAGCTCTTGGCTTTGAGGGTCCATCCGCTCCAGGCTGTCCAGCAGCTCGTCTATCTGTGATTTAATCACCGTCAGTTCTTTCTTAATGCACATCAGCTCCTCCATTCTTACTGCAGAGAGAAGGAGGTTAGCGAGCATTAATGTTATGTTCAGCGACACTAGCGACTAACTAATGCCACTGGTTGAGACAGTATTGCCAAACATATTGCATTTCTATTTGCCACCACTAGTGGAGCAGAAATTACAAACTGCAGCTTTAAATAAAGACGTAAAGACATGAGATGTAGCCTAGCAGTTAGCACACAATAGTTTAAAGTAGATTATGTGATAAAGTGTGTCATTTCTGTGCAAGTAGCAGCACCAAACGGACTGCAAAAAGAACTGTTTCCCAACTGGTCTTTTCTGCCCCACCCCCTAATTTGCCATTGGTTGGACAAACATGTAGCCCCTCCCCAAACTCATATCATTGGTTGAGCCACAATTTGAGCACTTTTGCCATTTTAAGCATAGTACAGCATAGAAAAACGACAAACTTCAGCTTTAAAAAGTAAAAAAAAAGAACCAAAAAGTTAAATTGTAGTACTTTCAAGAGACAAATGAGGATGCCCAGATATAAGCAACTCTTCTAATCTAATGTCTCTAATGATGGAAACTTAGATTGGACCTCTTTTCCGCAGCATGATAATACCACTCAAACACCCCTCCAATCCCAGCTGGATTAAAAAAAAAAACCATTCCAGCTCAGCACCAGCCATTAAAAAGCGGTTTGACCTTCCAGCTACAAAGGCAAACTCATTCTACTGTGATCTGCTGGCAGTAAAAACTATTAGGGCTTGTAATAAAGCACTATAAACTCTTCTTATTGGTTATGCACTATTAATTTGCTATAATTGCTTTTGGTGAAAGGCTAGGTTTGATTACTGAGGGAGTCGTTCTATAGCGGAGGGAGGATTTTAATGAAGAAACCATCTGGAGTTCGACAGCAGAGGCGCATGCATGCACGTAGAAATACACGCTCACAAAAAAACACAATTATATGAGCAACATTCACCAAAGCACAATCCAAGGGTACAAAATGTTGTACAAGAGATGCTGATATTCATTATAAGCTGCCAATGCAAACATGAACGTTTGGCCAAAGTTTTGCAATGCTGTGCCTTTCTACACAGCATTCTCACTGTGATAAACTACAGTACTCAAGGGGGCAATAGAGTTACCTTAAAATTGCTCAGGCAGCTTGCTATAAACATACTGACAGTTTAATTTTAATTCCAGTAGGAATTCTACATAATCTTGAGTTTCATGTGAGGGTGAAAAAATTCCCCGTTGCACTCATTTTCAAGTTGACCAACAGAAAGGTGGGTTTGAAAGCATAAATTGCTACATTATTTATAGTAGACAATGGACCTATTGTGCCTGCAAATTTTTGCTGAAATTTCGCCAACCTTTATACTGTTTCTACACCGGGTGTGACTGTTGCGTTGCATTGAGCTAAAACAGCTTGAGGCTACATTTTGCAATGTGTAATTCATAAAACAAACTGTAACAAATGAAAAGTAATTGTTTCCAAACAGGTTTCCCAACTGGTCTTTGTGTCCCGCCTCCCATCTGTCATTGGTTGGACAAAAATGTGTCTACACTGGGCTTGACTGTTGTTGTGTTGCATTACACAGCGCTAAAACTGCTTGAGAATGTCTACATTTTAAAATGTGTAATTTCTAAAACAAACACAGACAACAAATAATTGTTTCCAAACAGGTTTCCCAGCTGGTCTATTCTCTCCTGCTCCCATCTGTCATTGACTGGACAAACATGTTTCGACAAAGGGGCTTGACCACTGTCACGTATCACGCCACTGCAACAGCTTGAGGCTGTCTACATTTTAAAGTGTATTGTTTGTAAAACAAACTGTCAAACAAAAAAATTACAGTTGTTTCCAGACAGGTTTCCCAACTGGACTGGACAATATGTTCTACCAATGTTTTGCTAACATTCTCTGTGGGTTATGAAAACATTATTTCTGAATGTTCTTTGAACATTCAAAATGTCCATTTTAACATTGGTTATGCATACATTTCATTTTATAATTTTGCAAATATTATGGGAACGTTACTCTGAACATTCTGAAAGAATGTAAAATTTAAATTAAAAAAATGTTAGAAAAATGTCCAACTAAAATGTTTCAGACGTTGCATGAACAATGTAAAAATAATGTTTTTCTGTTTTAAGAACATTGCTAAAGACCAGATAATGAACACTGAATGAATGTTACTGGAAGAACGTTTGTTCATTACTTTGAGAGAACTTTGCC